TCATGAGGTTCACAGGGGCCTGCTTCTTGAGCTTGTCCAGGTCCCTCTGGATGGCATCCAGGTCCCTCTGGATAGCATCCCATCCCTCTGGTGTGTCAACCGCACCCTTCAGCTTGGTGTCATCTGCAAACTTGCTGAGGGTGCACTCGATCCCACTGTGTATGTCACTGATGAAGATATTAAACAGTACCGGTCCCAATACAGACCCCTGCGGGACGCCACTCATCACCAATCTCCATCTGGACATTGAGTCCTTGACCACTACCCTCTGGATGCAACCATCTAACCAATTCCTCACCCACCGGACAGTCCACCCATCAAATCCATACCTCTCCAGTTTACAGAGAAGGATGTCATGGGGGACCATGTCAAAGGCCTTACAGAGGTCCAGAGAGACGACATCTATTGCTCCTCCCATGTCCACTGATGTAGTCACTCCACAGAAGGCCACTAGGTTAGTCAGGCAGGACTTGCCCTTGGTGAAGCCTCCCTTCTCCCTTCATTGTTTTTTCTGAATGAATGTCTGGTTCATTTCCCTAGAAAAATCTGTCTTTACTTGCAGTTCCCAGGTCCTTGTTCCCACGTCTGCACCATTCCTCCAGCCCTCAAAGAACACTGTAACTCAGTCTTTGCATCCTCCCAATCATCTAGATTTCCCACTGCCTACACTGGATGAAATGGCAGACTGGCAGGTAGGAAGAGAATTGTTTAAGAAGCCACCTTCTTAAAGTTTGCTTAGTGTGCTTCTACTTTTATGCACGCAACAGGCCTCTGCTTTAGCTACACAGCAGAAGAGTAGCAACAAATAGCAAACAGAGGTAAGAAGCAAAGAATGTCCTTCCAGCTTCCCTTCTCAATAGGCTGGACATACTTGCTTCCTTTGTTCTGATGGTTCGGGCTTCGCTCCATTCACTCCACCTCCAGAAATGCTTAGCTGCCCCACAGCGTACTCTAGCTGTGTATTCAGTGTACGGCTGCAGTCCATCCAGGATGATGCTGGCATAATGGAGATGCATGTCTGAACTATTATGCTGCAAGACAGTAAAACAGAACAGTCAGAGCTCAGTTCAGTTTCATTAGCAAGAGGTTTTTGTCTGAAAAAATAGTTCTTCCTCTAGATCCTACGATAGCCAGTTAAGCTTGACTTGGAGAAGATAATCATGGAACAATAGTCCAAAAAAAAAAAAAAAAAAAGATATGCACAAGATCAAAAGACTGGGAGATCCAAAAAGAGGTCTGCAAGCCGCCTCTGCGCAACTGTTTGAGTAGGAGTCACTCACAACCTCACAAATGGCTACTCTTTACATCAAGGAGGGAATTTACTGCGATCTTATCCTCACAGAGTCTGGGTCTCTTACTCAGTTCATGTAAGTAGGCTGCTGTTCCAGATCTATGCACAGCATCTACAGCTACCTTTTCTCCCAATTTTTTCCCCAAACCCCTCCTAAGAGACAGGGTGAGTTCTGGTAAGAGTCAAAAAGTGAGCATGCTTTTAAGCCTCTCCTCTAAACTGTCTCCTGCAATGGTCAACTGCAGCAGCCACTTGATCTTACAGCTCTTGAGCATAGAATCATAGAATCATTAAGGTTGGAAGAGACCTCTAAGATCATCAAGTCCAACCGTCAACCCAACACCACCATGCCCACTGAAACCATATCCCTAAGCGCCTCATCTACCCATCTTTTAAATACCTCCAGGGACGGTGACTCAATCACTTCCCTGGGCAGCCTGTGCCAATGTTTAACCACTCTTTCAGTAAAGAAATTTTTCCTCATGTCCAATCGAAACCTCCCCTGGTGCAACTTGAGGCCATTTCCTCTCGTCCTTTCGTCAGTTACTTGGGAGAAGAGACCAACACCCACCTCACTACTGCCTCCTTTCAGGTAGTTGTAGAGAGCAATGAGGTCTCCCCTCAGCTTCATTTCCTCCAGGCTAAACAACCCCAGTTCTCTCAGCCGCTCCTCATAAGACTT